CTTTGTTTTGAATATTTTTTTCTGTGCTGAGTTCATTTTGTTACTGTGTTTCCTTTTCATTTACTTCATTGTTGTTGAATTTGTTTTTACTAAGTCCTTGTGATCTTCTTTCTTACTTTGGTTAGGAGGCTTAATAATTTTCTTTGTGGTTATTCTGTAGCTAATTTTTCTTTTCCTAAGTTTGGAAGGTCTGTTCTATATTGACACCATCCTGACTTCCTGTTCAGTTGAGAGTTCTGTAATTATATCATTTATTCCCTTTATTTTATTTATTTATTTATTTATTTTTAGCTTTGTAGTTGGTGTTTTTTACAGATAAGCACTTCTGGTTTTCCATATTCAGCTTTGTAAGCTTATTTTAATTTTGAGAATTCTTTCTCTAGGCTTATTTCTGACTGATGTTGTCATGTGTCTTAATCTCAGATTGTTGTCTTCCATTGCTGGTTTTCTGTCCAAAGGACTTCCTTTAGCAATTCTTGTAAGGTAGGTATGGTTTTTACAAATTCTCTTAATTTCTGTTTATCTGTGGATGTCCTAATCTCACTGTGGTAGTTCAGTTGATGTGTCAACTTGGCTGGGCCTGGTTGAGTAGCTGGGCAGCTGTTGTTGTTGTTGTTGTTGTTATGTGCCGTCGAGTCAGCCCTGACTCATAGCGACCCCTCCTTGGGTTTCCGAGGCAGTATCACTACGGAAGTAGGATTGCCCAACCTTCCTTCCGAGGAGTGGCTGGTGGGTTTGAACCGCCAGCCTTCTGGTTAGCAGTCAAGTGCCTTAGCCACTATGCTACCAGAGCTCCTAGCTGGGCAGCTGGATGTAGTTATTCCCCATGATGAGACAGGTAATCAACTCCATGGTGGGATCTACTGTGAGCAGCTGAGGAGCTGCCTTAGGGAATGTGGTCTGCTTCCTGTATATAAGCAGAAGCCTTGGGGATAGTCTGTAGCTTATGGGACACTTGGACCCTGTATATAGCCGTGTCATTGTTCAGCAGCCTGCCATGCTCTGCCGACCTTGGGACTTGCAATGAACTTGAATTAATGGCCTACTATGTGGTTTGGTAACATCAGGACTGTGCCTTGTTTCTTGTCAACCTTGGGCTTGGCAGCCTCAGCAGCCAGCAGCTGTCTGAGTGAAGAAAAGCCTCTAGCTCCAGTGGTCCGGGAGCAGGAGGTAGAGCTGGATCTCAAGGTTGAGGGGCTTTCATCCAGCCCCTAGAGCCTGGCACTTTGAACTTGGGCTTAAAGCCTCCAAATTGTAAAAGAATAAACTCCTGTTTGTTTAGGCCATCCCATTTGTGGTATATTCTTGTCAGAGCGGCACTAGGTAACCAGAACACTCACCATCATACTTGAGGGACAGTTTTGCTGGATATATAATTCTTGGTTGGCATTTTTTTTCTTTTAAGGTTTTATATATGTCGTCCCATTGCCACCTTGCCTGCATGGTTTCTGCTAAGAAATCATAGCTTAGTCTTATTGGTTGCCCTTTGCAGGTAACATTTCATTTTTTTCTGAGCTACTCTTAAACTCTGTCTTTGTCTTTGGTTTGGGAAAGTTTGATTATTATATGTCATGGTGACTTTCTTGTGGGGTCTATCTTGTACTGGGTTTGTTGAGCTTCTTGAGTGGATATCTTTCCATCTTTCACGATATTGGGGAAGTTTTCTGCTAGCAAGTCTTCAACAATTTTCTGTTGTAGTTATTCCCTATAATGAGATTGGTAATCAACTCTATGGTGGAATCTACTATAAGCAGCTGAGTAGTTGCCTTGGGGATGTGGTGCGTTCCCAATATATAAAGAGAAGCTTTAGGAATGGTCTGCAGCTTTTGGCACGCTTGAATCCTTCATGTAGCTGTGTCCTTGCAGCAGCCTGCCATGTTGTCTGTTGATCTTGGAACTCTTAATGGACTTGAATCTGTGGCCTGCTGTGTGATTGGCAATATTGGGACTGTAAGAGAATAAATTCCTGTTTGCTCAAAGCCATCCACCTGTGATATTTCCATTACAGCAGCACTGTACATCCATACAGTAAATCTTGATGCTTGGAGCACAAATGTCCCATCTTGCATTCT